TTTTCCAAAAGTTGTTTTTTCAAACAGTGGTAAATGGCTTTTACTACAACAGGCCTAATAATATTGGCCATAATAACTTTCTTTTTTCATCTTAACAGTCTCTCACTCTCTCCTTTCAACCTTTTTCTCTCCATGTACCCAAGCACAAACACACACAACACATCCCCTATTCAAATACACACACACACACACAATTTTTTTTCAAAATGGCCGACGGCACCAAAATTTGGCGCCAACGGAAACAGGGTGGGAAAGTGGGACATAAGCCCTAAATGGGGCATACAGACCTGTCAAAATTGCATGGTGATGAATGCTATCGAGCTGTATACTACTTGCATTTAATTTTATTTTTATAACCTTGTGGTCTCTGCCGGAAGATAATATTTAAACAATAGCATTTTATACTTCTTGAAGGAGAACTTTTGGCATAAATTATCCCACATAAGTTTGACTCGTGTATGAATCAAAAGTTACCTCTAGAGTGGATCCGGATGCTTTATTCTTCCCAGCTACTACTGGTGGAATAAAAGGGGGAAAATCTTTGAGACTGAAGTGGTGGGGTGGCCATTCCCCAGGAAGGAATTTTTCATGGTGTTTGAAGGGTCAATCAGTTGTCTGCAGTACATAATTCAGGAATATGATTGAATCACAGCATCACATACAAATATTTGGTAGTAGTTTATTCAATATTTTATTAGTGTCTTATTGACTTGTGACATTTGGGGGTTCTCCCAGGCCAGTAACAGGTTCGGTCACTGTTTGCCTTGTAATCATGGATGTCTTGTGGCTGTGCAGCTTTGATCCAGAGCTCTGACCCCAGCAACCTGCTAACAGCCCACTAGCCTTGCACTGGCTTTGCCCAACTTGGTTAATCTTCATAGGCTGAACTTAGTATCTTCCAACCCAAATTCAACCCAAAATCATCCTACTGCAGGGATCAGTCCCTCTCTCTGGACCCTCACAGAGAAAGTATTAAGTTCGCAGCCTCTACAAAGACAGTAAAACACTGTTAGTATATAGGCTTGTTTGTCAGCCTGAGATAGAATTTTGGGTTTGACCTTTTGATACTCTTATACTAACATGAGTGAACAAAGATACTGGGTGTGCTGCTTCTGCCTAGCCAGATGGGTTTGTTAGTATAATGGGAACAGATCAGAACAGTTAAAATGTTGCAGGTGGGAGGGATAGCTCAGTGGTTTGAGCATTGGCCTGCTAAACCAAGGGTTGTGAGTTCAATCCTTGAGGGGGCCACTTGGGGATCTGGGGCAAAATCAGTATGTGGTCCTGCTAGTGAAGGCAGGGGGCTGGATTCAATGACCTTTCAAGGTCCTTTCCAGTTCTAGGAGATGGGATAGCTCCATTTATGGAAAAAAAATTTATAATATATGAGCATACAGTGGAAGGCTGCCTGGCTCTTCTCTGAAGGCAAAGTCAAGCAAAGAGGTGGGAGGAGCAAAGGGGGTTTTGGGTGAAGGTATAAATCACTAAAAGACCAAAGAAATGCCTATCCCTGATTGTAGCACAACCTCACCCCTTACCCCTCCCATGGGGTCAGGCCCACCAACAGGAATTCTGGGCCCCAGGGCAGAAGAGTCAATGGGCCCCTGCGATCTGCTGGCTGCACTGCTGGGTGCACTCTTCTGGCACAGACAGGGCTTTCACATGCCTAGGAGTCCTGCAGCCCACCTGGGCAATTTAAAAGGGCCTGGGGCTCCTGGCCGCTACTACTGCAATTGCCCCCTTTGCTGCCCCCCGCCCAGTCAGCAGACTTGCATGGGGTACAAAAGAGGTGGGATGAAGACTGCAGACCCAAAATGGAACATTACCATAAGATGTTGCCAAGAAAGCTAACAGCATTTGGGGCTGTATAAGTAGGGGCATTGCCAGCAGATCGAAGGATGTGATCATTCCCCTCTATTCAACATTGGTGAGGCCTCATCTGGAGTACTGTGTCCAGTTTTCGGCCCCACTCTACAAGAAGGATGTGGAAAAATTGGAAAGAGTCCAGCGGAGGGCAACAAAAATGATTAGGGGGCTAGAACACATGACTTATGACAGGGGTCCCCAATGCAGTGCCCGCGGGCACCATGGCGCCCACCGAGGCGTCTAAGTGTGCCCGCGTACTGGCCAGCGGATGAGCATCCACCAAAATGTGGCCAAGAAGCAGCAGCATCCAGAGGCGTCGCCGCCGAAATGTCACCGATTTTCGGAGGCATTTCAGCGATAATGCCTCTGGATGACGCTGCTTCTCAGTGGCGATGCCTATTGACGTTGCCACTTGTCAGCAGCATTTCATGGTTGCTGCTCCCTATACCCCCCCAATGTAACAGATGGCAGCATGGTATGAACCCTTACCATTGTCAGGGGAAAACCAGGAAAACCGTAACACCACCAACAGAATCACCACAATGCACTACACGTTTGTAACAAGAATGAAACACTGTAACATGTATGTTTTTAACACATAATCATAAATGTTTATTAAAGTATGGGTTACCTTCTTACATTGCTGCTTAAATGTTTCTACCTCCCCCCCCCCCATACACTCCATAGTGTAAGCTCCATACACTCAGGCACACTAGCAGTCCATAAAAGCATCACACAATACTACTCTGGCTGACTGTTAACATGCTTTTAAGGTCTCCCTCAGCTGTATAGCTCCATGGTTGGCTATTCTAATCGCCCTTATGTCTGGCTGTTCGAGTTCAGCAGATATTTGGTCCACCTCGCCCCCTCACCCTGCCGGTAGCCTTTCCCCCTTCACCTCACAGATTTAACATTTGGGACGTTCGCCTTCCTGAGATTCAAACTAGTTAGTAAATATTCCCAGTGACCTTTTAATCTACCAAAATCACATTCAACTGTCATCAAACTCCTGCTGAGCTGGTCGTTCAATTTTTCTTTGATGCTGTCCAAGTGGCCAGTGTACGGCTTTATGAGCCAGGAAATCAAGGGATAGGCTGCATTCCCCAGAATCACTATTGGCATTTCAACATCACTGAAGGGAATGCACCAGTCAGGAAAGAATGTTCCTGCTTGCAGCTTTTAGAAAAGTCCTGTGTTTTTAAAGATGCAAGCCTCATTCACCTTTCCTGGCCAGAGAAAGGAATCTCAGGAACAGGGCCGGCTCCAGGCACCAGCCAACCAAGCATGTGCTTGGGGCAGCACCTTGTAAGGGGCGGCCAATCTTGGTTTGCTGAGGCAGCGCTCGGAGGGTGTGGGGGGCCCTTTTTGGTTCGGCGGGGTGGCACTTTTTTTTTATTTTTTTTGCTTGGGGTAGCAAAAAAGTTAGAGCCGGCCCTGCTCAGGAAGGTGAAATCTCTCCTTTGAGAAAAGGCTGACATCTGAAGAACATTGTAGACAGAGCTGCTGCAGAGGACTGTGACAGTGGTGGTAATACTAATAAATCACACAGAGATGTTAACAAGGAAGAAGCACACAAGACTGTATGGATCACAGGACAGGAGCGGAGCCTGCCCTGCTACAGGTACTTAGATGAATCCCATTAGGGCAATACGTGAGCAGCTCACAATCTTCAGTGTATTTATACCCACCCTGTGAAGTAGGGAAGTACTATTATCCTCCTTTCTTTAGCCCTGGGGTTCTCAAACCTTTTCATCATGAAGACTGTATCTACTGAACCACTTCCTTTCCCATTTGCTATGATGCAGAACCACCTCCCTCCCCATCTATCAATACATAACTTCCTTGGCAACTAAAGTAATTGCTCACATGAAAAAGTCCTGATATTAGCTAGAAACAAGGAAAATAGCCAGCACCATATGACTAGCCAGATCTACATCGACTGCCAACAAAAGCTGTGTAGAGCAGTGTGAGAATCACTGACTGGGCCTCAGTCTTTTCCCATTCTATTTCTATTAATCTTACCTACTCCACACAGATTATGTGGTCTCTTCTCCCACCAGTACCAATAACACACAGTCCATCTCATACCAAATTTTCTCAGAACACTTTCCCCAGCACTATGAACTGCTCTTCATGATAAGGGAAGTTCAAACCAGTTAATTCAGGAGTGGGGTAAGAAATTTCAAACACTGCATCAGCGAAACCTTTGGAGTTCATGGAGTCATCAGAAATGTTTTAAAATATACTAATTGGCCAGATATTAAGGACCATATTCCATTCAGGCCTTTTTAACACTAAAAATACACTAGCTGTAGGATATAGTGATTACATACTGACATGTATTGGTCTTTCTCCAATAAAATATACATATGGCTCATCAGCGTCAATGGAAGTAAAGGCAGGAACATGCGCTTGGACCCACATCAAGAATTGCAAATACATGGGACATCTAGAATCCACCTACACAGTATATGTTTTCAGGCCAACTTCTCTACAGAAAAGTAACTTTAAAAAAATAATGAGTCAGAATCTCCC